GTAACAGTTTTGTAAACCATTGAGACCATTTGACTGTCTTACCTCCGGTTCCACTTTACCGTAAATGTTTTTTTTTACAGTAACTGTTTTATAAACAATTGAGACCAGTTGACTGTTGTAATGCTTTGAACGATTTATTTCAGCTTCATAATCATAGTTGTTTTAGATCTCGAGTAGTTTAAGGCGAGAAAAGATATATACTCTCACCAACAGATAAGTGCACTCTCAACAATTACACTCTCACTGAAACATAGCGTATTTATTTTCTTTTTTTTTCTGTTAGGCAGGGTTCGGATTTTTCCCGAATTTCGCCACTCAACCTTTTGGTTCCACTTGACTGCTGTGCCTCCGGTTCCACCTTATTGTAAGACCTTTTTACAGTTACTTTCTCGTGAAAAATTGACGTCTGTTGACTGCTGTAATGTCCTGAACGATTTAATTCAACTTCATAATAATAATTGTTTCAGATCATGTGTAGTTTAGGGTGAAAAAAGAGTTAAACTCTCACCGAGAGACAGTTTCACTCTCAACTATTAACTTCTCACCGAGAGATAACGTCGTTATCTTCTACTTTTCTTTGAGCAGATGGGTTTGGATTCGCCCCAAAATTCACCACTCAACCCCCCGGTTCAACTTGACTGCTGCTTCCTGTAATGCCTTGAACAGTTTATTGCAACTTCATAATAATAATTGTTCCAGACCATGAGTAGGATAGTACGAGAAAAAACTACACACTCACCGAGGTATAACGTCGTTATCTTCTTCTTTTCTTTGAGCAGGAGGGTTCGGACTCGTCCCGAATTTGCATACATTCAGCCCTCCGGTGCTATTTGACTACTGTACCTCCGGGTCCACTTTACTGTAATTCCCTGTTACAGTTACTGTTTTCGAAACAACTGAGACCTGTTGACAGCTGTAAGGCTCTGAGAGATTTATTTTAACTAAATAATATTAATTGTTTCAGATCATGAGTATTTTAGGATGAGAAAAGTTTTATACTCTCATCGAGAGATAACAGCACTCTCAACAATTATACTCTCACTGAGAGATAACGTGATTATTTTCTTCTTTTCTCTGTTCGGAAGGGTTTGGATTCGTACCAAATTGTGCAACTTAACCCTTAAATTTCACCTGACTGATGTACCTCCGGCTCCACGTTACTGTGATTCAAACTTTACATTAAAATCTTTCAAAACAATTGAGACCCATTGACTGCTTTAATGCCTCGAACTATTTTATATTTCAGATCATGATTAGACTGCGCGAGAAAAAAGTCGGTCGAATCCGATTACAATCTCACCGAGAGAAAACCTCGTTATCTTTTTCTTTTCTGCAAGCAGGAGTGTTCGGATTCATCCGAAAATTGCCACTCAACTGTCCGGTTCCACTTTTTGAAATTACATCCTATAAAAACTGTTTTGTCAGCAATTGAGTCTTGTTGACTGCTGTAATGCCAAATACCTCCTAAACGAGAGATAAAGTCGTTATCTTCTTCTTTTCTCTGTTCGGCAGAGGTCAGAATTGTCTCGCGCTTCCATTTGACTGTCTTACCTGCGGTTCCACTTTACCGTACTTCTTTTTTTACAGTAACTGTTTTGTAAATAATTGAGACCAGTTGACTGCTGTAAGGCTCTGAACGACTTAAATCAGCTTCATAATAATAGTTGTTTTAGATCTTGAGTAGTTTAGGGCGAGAAAAAATTATACTCTCACCAAGAGGTAAGTGCACTCTCAACATTTACACTGAAACATAACTCTGTAGGCAGGGTTCGGATTTTTCCCGAATTTCTCCACTCAATCCTCCGTTTCCACTTGAAAGCTGTATCTCCGGTTCGACTTTCTGTATTTTTTTTAACAGTAATTGTTTTTTAAGACTTTCAGACCTGTTGACTGATGTAATGCTTCCAACGATTTATTTCAATTCCAAAAAAAAATTATTCTTTCACATCATGAGCAATTTACGACGAGAAAAAAATTATAATCTCAACGAGAGATAATTACATTTTCAATAATTACACTCTCACCGAGAGTAAAGTTGTTATTTTTTTCTTATATGTATTCAGGAATGGTCAGACTTGTCCTAAATTGTGCCACTCAACCCTTCAACTTCATTTGACTGCTGTACTTCCGGTTAATTTTTCTGTAATACTACTTTATAGTAACTGTTTTTTGTAGAAAAAAAATTGAGCCCTGTTGACTGCTTCATTTCCAATAACACTCTCACAAAAAGATAACGCCCTTATATTTTTCTTTTCTTTATTCGGAAGGGTTCGGATTCGTCCCGAATGTTGCCATTCAAAACTCCGGTTCCACTTGACTGCTGTACGTACGGTTACATTTTACTGGAATTCAGTTTACAGTAACTGTTTTACAAATAACTGAGACCTGTTGACTGCTGTAAAGCCCTGAAAATAATTGAATTTTAATAATCCATTATAGTTGTTGTTTCAAATCATCAGTAGTTTAGGGCAAGAAAAGAGTTACACTCTCAATGAGAGATAACTACGCATTCGAAAAAAAACACTCACCGAGGGATAACGTTTTTATCTTCTAGTTTTCTCTGTTGGGGAGGGTTCGTGCTCCTCCCAAACTTTGCCACTCAATTTTCCGGTTCCACTTGACTGCTTTACCTCCGATTCCATTTTCTTGTAAGTCTTTTTTATACTGCCTGTTTTTAAGCAATTGAGACCTGCTTAGTGCTGTAATGCTCTGAACGATTTATTTCAACTTCTTAATAATGGTTAAATTACATCAAAGGTAGATTAGGGCGTGGAAAAAAGTTGCACTCTCACTGGGAGATATCTACACCTTTCAATAATTTCACTCTCACCGAGAATAACGTCGTTTTCTTATTCTTTTTTCTGTTCGCGAGAGATCGGATTGGTCCCGAATTTTGCCCTTTAGCCCTCCGGTTCTTTTTAACTGATGTACCTATGGTTCCACTTTACTGTAATAACCTGTTACAGTAACTGTTTTCTGAATAATTGAGACCTGTTGACTGCTGTAAGGCTCTGAAAGAAATAATTTAACTATATAGCAATTGTTGTTTCAGATCATTAGTAGTTAAGGGCGAGAAAAGTGTTATACTCTCACCGAGAGATTACACTCTCACTGAGAGATAACGTGTTTATTTTTTTCTTTTCTCTGTCCGGGAGGACTCAATTTTATCCCCAATTGTGCCAGTCAACTCTTCAGTTTCGAGTGACTGCTGTACATCCGGCTCCACTATGCTGTGATTCAAACATAACCTTAAATGTTTTTAAAACAATTGAGACCAGTTGACTGCTGTAATGATCTGAACGATTTAGTTCAGCTTCATAATAATAGTTGTTTTAGATCTCGAGCAGTTTAGGGCGAGAAAATATTTATACTCCCACGAAGAGGTAAGTGCACTCTCAACGATTACACTCTCACTGAAGCATAACATTTTTATTTTCTTTTTTTCTCTGTTAGGCAGGGTTCGAATTTTTCCCGATTTTCGCCGTTCAACCCTCCGTTTCCACTTGACTGCTGTACCTCCGGTTACATTTTACTGGAATTTTTTTGTACAGTAACTGTTTTACAAATAATTGAGACCTGTTGACTTCTGTAAAGTCCTGAAAATAAATGAATAATAATAATCCATAATAGTTGTTAATTCAGATCATCAGTAGTTTAGTGCAAGAAAAGAGTTACTTTCTCAATGAGAGATAACTACGCACTCGAAAACAAAAACACTCACTGAGAGATAACGTCTTTATCTTCTTCTTTTCTGTGTTGGGGAGGGTTCATGCTCGTCCCAAATTTTGCCACTCAAGTTTCCGGTTCCACTTGACTGCTTTACCTCCGATTCCATTTTGTTGTTCGAGTTCTTCAACTTCCTCTTCAAACGAGGCCGTCTGACACGGTACTGCTTCCGCTAGTTTCGTGAAGTGATCTATGATTACCAATATCTGGTTATATCCCGATTCCGTCATGCATATCTTTTGATGGTCTATCAGTACGACCTCATTGAATTCTAAGCTTTCCACCGATTTGAGAGGGAACTTCATCTTCCTCGGGTCTTTCACTTGTAGACACTGCAAACATGCGTTGACCCATCTTTCGCAAGCTTTTCTCATTCCTGGCCACTCAGATCGGTGTAGTATTCTTTGTTGCACCTTATCTGTTCCTTGATGTCCCATCTGGTCATGCGATCTGAGTAGCACCTCCGTTTGATATAGCTGCGGTAGTATGATGAGATTATGTTTTTATAATGTTTTCTCTTCATATCTTCTCTTGCAGGCCACCACATCATCTGCTGCCTGGTAGAGCAAGCACTTCCGTTCCTTGTAGAACTGGCTCAAGATCTTATAGCTGTCCCCTCTAGGACTCTTCTCTCCTTTACTCTCGTTCGGATCCATTTGGAGAGATTGTTGGTCATCTTGGCGTTTTTCTATGCTCGTATCAAGTCAGATATTCTGTACCTCGCCTTCACAGGCTCTTTCAGTGCCATCATTTGCCCGTTTAGTTCTCCCTGGTTGTGCATTGCATTTGGAGAGATTGCTGGTCATCTTGGCGTTTTTCTGTGCTCGTTTCAAGTCCGACATCCTGTACCTCGCCTTCACAGGCTCTTTCAGTGCCATCTTTTGCCCGTTCAGTTCTCCCGGGTTGTGGATATTGTCCTTAAAAGTGACGCATACTATCCTGTTCAAGACCTCTCTGTCACTCTCCGGCTCTAGATTCGTCCTGACGTTTGAACTGCATGATATTTCCCTGAAATTTTTTTACAGCGCTATCATCTCTAGTTCTTCTCCTCCGTTCATGTCGTAATGGTCCAAGTTGTATGTCCCGGAGGAGGGATCAGTTTGCATTTCCCTGTCTTGATTTCTTCTTTTTTCTTCTGCTAATGTCGTGCACAAACTTTCTTGCTCATCGTCACTCGCTATTGAGTCTTGGTCCCATTCTTCTGACTCCCCGGACAAATTTGCCTCTTCACAATCCTTCTCATTTGACAACCACTCCCCGGACTCTTGATCTAGTCAGAGTTCTTCAGCTTCCTCTTTAAACGAGGCCGTCTGACTCGGTACTGCTTCCGCTAGTTTCATGAAGTGATCTATGATTACCAATATCTGGTTATATCCTAATTCCGTTATGCAGATCTTTTGATGGTCTATCTGTACGACCTCATTGAATTCTGATCTTTCCACCAATTTGAGAGGGAACTTCCTCTTCCTCGGGTCTTTCACTTGTAGACACGACAAACATGCGTCCACCCTCCTTTCGCAAGTTTCCCTCAGTCCTGGCCAGTCATATTGGTGCAGTATACTTTGTTGCACCTTGTCTGTTCCTTGATGTCCCATCTGATCGTGCGATCTGAACAGCAACTCCGTTTGATATAGCTGCGCTAGTATGATGAGATATTGTTTGTGTAAAATTTTTTCTCTTCATCTCTTCTCTTGCAGGCCACCACTTCATCTGCTGTGTGGTATAGTAAGCCCAACCGCTCCTTGTAGAACTGGCTCAATCACTTGTAGCTGTCCTCCTCCAGGTCTCTTCTCTCCTTTACTCCCGTTCGGATCCATTTGGAAAGATTGCTGGTCATCTTGGCGTTTTTCTGTGCTCGTTTCAAGTCCGACATCCTGTACCTCGCCTTCACAGGCTCGTTCAGTGCCATCTTTTGCCCGTTCAGTTCTCCCGGGTTGTGGATAGCATCCTTAAAAGTGACGCATACTATCCTGTTCAAGACCTCTCTGTCACTCTCCGGCTCTAGATTCGTCCTGACGTTTGATTTGCATGATATTTCCCTGAAATTTTTTTTACAGCGCTATCATCTCTAGTTCTTCTCCTCCGTTCATGTCGTAATGGTCCAAGTTGTATGTCCCGGCGGAGGGATCAGTTTGCATTTCCCTGTCTTGATTTCTTCTTTTTTCTTCCGCTAATGTCGTGCACAAACTTTCTTGCTCATCGTCACTCGCTATTGAGTCTTGGTCCCATTCTTCTGACTCCCCGGACAAATTTGCCTCTTCACAATCCTTCTCATTTGACAACCACTCCCCGGACTCTTGATCTAGTCAGAGTTCTTCAGCTTCCTCTTTAAACGAGGCCGTCTGACTCGGTACTGCTTCCGCTAGTTTCATGAAGTGATCTATGATAACCAATATCTGGTTATATCCTAATTCCGTAATGCAGATCTTTTGATGGTCTATCTGTACGACCTCATTGAATTCTGATCTTTCCACCAATTTGAGAGGGAACTTCTTCTTCCTCGGGTCTTTCACTTGTAGACACGATAAACATGCGTCGACCCTCCTTTCGCAAGTTTCCCTCAGTCCTGGCCAGTCATATTGGTGCAGTATACTTTGTTGCACCTTGTCTGTTCCTTGATGTCCCATCTGATCGTGCGATCTGAACAGCAACTCCGTTTGATATAGCTGCGGTAGTATGATGAGATATTGTTTGTGTAAAATTTTTTCTCTTCATCTCTTCTCTTGCAGGCCACCACTTCATCTGCTGTGTGGTATAGTAAGCCCAACCGCTCCTTGTAGAACTGGCTCAATCACTTGTAGCTGTCCTCCTCCAGGTCTCTTCTCTCCTTTACTCCCGTTCGGATCCATTTGGAAAGATTGCTGGTCATCTTGGCGTTTTTCTGTGCTCGTTTCAAGTCCGACATCCTGTACCTCGCCTTCACAGGCTCGTTCAGTGCCATCTTTTGCCCGTTCAGTTCTCCCGGGTTGTGGATAGCATCCTTAAAAGTGACGCATACTATCCTGTTCAAGACCTCTCTGTCACTCTCCGGCTCTAGATTCGTCCTGACGTTTGAACTGCATGATATTTCCCTGAAATTTTTTTTACAGCGCTATCATCTCTAGTTCTTCTCCTCCGTTCATGTCGTAATAGTCCAAGTTGTATGTCCCGGAGGAGGGATCAGTTTGCATTTCCCTGTCTTGATTTCTTCTTTTTTCTTCCGCTAATGTCGTGCACAAACTTTCTTGCTCATCGTCACTCGCTATTGAGTCTTGGTCCCATTCTTCTGACTCCCCGGACAAATTTGCCTCTTCACAATCCTTCTCATTTGACAACCACTCCCCGGACTCTTGATCTAGTCAGAGTTCTTCAGCTTCCTCTTTAAACGAGGCCGTCTGACTCGGTACTGCTTCCGCTAGTTTCATGAAGTGATCTATGATAACCAATATCTGGTTATATCCTAATTCCGTAATGCATATCTTTTGATGGTCTATCAGTACGACCTCATTGAATTCTAAGCTTTCCACCGATTTGAGAGGGAACTTCATCTTCCTCGGGTCTTTCACTTGTAGACACTGCAAACATGCGTTGACCCATCTTTCGCAAGCTTTTCTCATTCCTGGCCACTCAGATCGGTGTAGTATTCTTTGTTGCACCTTATCTGTTCCTTGATGTCCCATCTGGTCATGCGATCTGAGTAGCACCTCCGTTTGATATAGCTGCGGTAGTATGATGAGATTATGTTTTTATAATGTTTTCTCTTCATATCTTCTCTTGCAGGCCACCACATCATCTGCTGCCTGGTAGAGCAAGCACTTCCGTTCCTTGTAGAACTGGCTCAAGATCTTATAGCTGTCCCCTCTAGGACTCTTCTCTCCTTTACTCTCGTTCGGATCCATTTGGAGAGATTGTTGGTCATCTTGGCGTTTTTCTATGCTCGTATCAAGTCAGATATTCTGTACCTCGCCTTCACAGGCTCTTTCAGTGCCATCATTTGCCCGTTTAGTTCTCCCTGGTTGTGCATTGCATTTGGAGAGATTGCTGGTCATCTTGGCGTTTTTCTGTGCTCGTTTCAAGTCCGACATCCTGTACCTCGCCTTCACAGGCTCTTTCAGTGCCATCTTTTGCCCGTTCAGTTCTCCCGGGTTGTGGATATTGTCCTTAAAAGTGACGCATACTATCCTGTTCAAGACCTCTCTGTCACTCTCCGGCTCTAGATTCGTCCTGACGTTTGAACTGCATGATATTTCCCTAAAATTTTTTTACAGCGCTATCATCTCTAGTTCTTCTCCTCCGTTCATGTCGTAATGGTCCAAGTTGTATGTCCCGGAGGAGGGATCAGTTTGCATTTCCCTGTCTTGATTTCTTCTTTTTTCTTCTGCTAATGTCGTGCACAAACTTTCTTGCTCATCGTCACTCGCTATTGAGTCTTGGTCCCATTCTTCTGACTCCCCGGACAAATTTGCCTCTTCACAATCCTTCTCATTTGACAACCACTCCCCGGACTCTTGATCTAGTCAGAGTTCTTCAGCTTCCTCTTTAAACGAGGCCGTCTGACTCGGTACTGCTTCCGCTAGTTTCATGAAGTGATCTATGATAACCAATATCTGGTTATATCCTAATTCCGTAATGCAGATCTTTTGATGGTCTATCTGTACGACCTCATTGAATTCTGATCTTTCCACCAATTTGAGAGGGAACTTCATCTTCCTCGGGTCTTTCACTTGTAGACACGATAAACATGCGTCGACCCTCCTTTCGCAAGTTTCCCTCAGTCCTGGCCAGTCATATTGGTGCAGTATACTTTGTTGCACCTTGTCTGTTCCTTGATGTCCCATCTGATGGTGCGATCTGAACAGCAACTCCGTTTGATATAGCTGCGGTAGTATGATGAGATATTGTTTGTGTAAAATTTTTTCTCTTCATCTCTTCTCTTGCAGGCCACCATCTCATCTGCTGTGTGGTATAGTAAGCCCAACCGCTCCTTGTCGAACTGGCTCAATCACTTGTAGCTGTCCTCCTCCAGGTCTCTTCTCTCCTTTACTCCCGTTCAGATCCATTTGGAAAGATTGCTGGTCATCTTGGCGTTTTTCTGTGCTCGTTTCAAGTCCGACATCCTGTACCTCGCCTTCACAGGCTCGTTCAGTGCCATCTTTTGCCCGTTCAGTTCTCCCGGGTTGTGGATAGCATCCTTAAAAGTGACGCATACTATCCTGTTCAAGACCTCTCTGTCACTCTCCGGCTCTAGATTCGTCCTGACGTTTGAACTGGATGATAATCCCCTGAAAAAATTTCTTTACAGCGCTATCATCTCTAGTTCTTCTCCTCCGTTCATGTCGTAATGGTCCAAGTTGTATGTCCCGGAGGAGGGATCGTTTTGCATTTCACTGTCTTGATTTCTATTTTTTTCTTCCACTAATATCGTGCACAACTTTTCTTGCTCATCTTCACTCGCTATTGAGTCTTGGTCCCATTCTTCTGACTACCCGGACAAATTTGCCTCTTCACTATCCTTCTCATTTGACAACCACTCCCCGGACTCTTGATCTAGTGAGAGTTCTTTAGCTTCCTCGTTAATCGAGGCCGTCTGACTCGGTACTGCTTCCGCTAGTTTCATGAACTGATCTATGATTACCAATATCTGGTTATATCGTAATTCCGTCATGCAGATCTTTTGATGGTCTATCTGTACGACCTCATTGAATTCTGATCTTTCCACCAATTTGCGAGGGAACTTCCTCTTCCTCGGGTCTTTCACTTGTAGACACGACAAACATGCGTCGGCCCTCCTTTCGCAAGTTTCCCTCATTCCTGGCCAGTCATATCGGTGCAGTATACTTTGTTGCACCTTGTCTGTTCCTTGATGTCCCATCTGATCGTGCGATCCGAACAGCAACTCCGTTTGATATAGCTGCGGTAGTATGATGAGATTATGTTTGTGTAATACTTTCTCTTCATCTCTTCTCTTGCAGACCACCACATCCTCTGCTGTGTGGTAGAGTAAGCCCAACCGCTCCTTGTAGAATTGGCTCAATCACTTGTAGCTGTCCTCCTCCAGGTCTCTTCTCTCCTTTACTCCCGTTCAGATCCATTTGGAAAGATTGCTGGTCATCTTGGCGTTTTTCTGTGCTCGTTTCAAGTCCGACATCCTGTACCTCGCCTTCACAGGCTCGTTCAGTGCCATCTTTTGCCCGTTCAGTTCTCCCGGGTTGTGGATAGCATCCTTAAAAGTGACGCATACTATCCTGTTCAAGACCTCTCTGTCACTCTCCGGCTCTAGATTCGTCCTGACGTTTGAACTGCATGATAATCCCCTGAAAAAATTTCTTTACAGCGCTATCATCTCTAGTTCTTCTCCTCCGTTCATGTCGTAATGGTCCAAGTTGTATGTCCCGGAGGAGGGATCGTTTTGCATTTCACTGTCTTGATTTCTATTTTTTTCTTCCACTAATGTCGTGCACAACTTTTCTTGCTCATCTTCACTCGCTATTGAGTCTTGGTCCCATTCTTCTGACTACCCGGACAAATTTGCCTATTCACTATCCTTCTCATTTGACAACCACTCCCCGGACTCTTGATCTAGTGAGAGTTCTTTAGCTTCCTCGTTAATCGAGGCCGTCTGACTCGGTACTGCTTCCGCTAGTTTCATGAACTGATCTATGATTACCAATATCTGGTTATATCGTAATTCCGTCATGCAGATCTTTTGATGGTCTATCTGTACGACCTCATTGAATTCTGATCTTTCCACCAATTTGCGAGGGAACTTCCTCTTCCTCGGGTCTTTCACTTGTAGACACGACAAACATGCGTCGGCCCTCCTTTCGCAAGTTTCCCTCATTCCTGGCCAGTCATATCGGTGCAGTATACTTTGTTGCACCTTGTCTGTTCCTTGATGTCCCATCTGATCGTGCGATCCGAACAGCAACTCCGTTTGATATATTTGCGGTAGTATGATGAGATTATGTTTGTGTAATACTTTCTCTTCATCTCTTCTCTTGCAGACCACCACATCCTCTGCTGTGTGGTAGAGTAAGCCCAACCGCTCCTTGTAGAACTGGCTCATGATCTTATAGCTGTCCTCCTCTAGGTCTCTTCTCTCCTTTACTCTCGTTCTGAGCCATTTGGAGAGATTGCTGGTCATCTTGTCGCTGTTCTGTGCCTGTATCTAGTCCGATAGCCTGTACCTCGCCTTCACATGCCCTTTCAGTGCCATCATTTGTCCGATCAGTTCTTACGGGTTGTGAATATCATCCTTAGGTTTGACGCACACCATCCTGCTCAAGACTTCTCTGTCGCTCTCAGACCCTAGATTCGTCCTGAAGTTTGAACTGCATAACAATCCCCTAAAAAGTTTTCTTGACAGCGCCTTCATCTCTAGTTCTTCTCTTCCGTTCATGTCGTAATGGTCCAGGTTTTATGTCCCGGAGGAGGGATCAGTCTGCGTTTCCCAGTCACGATTTCTTCATTTTTCTTCCGCTAATATCGTGCACAAACTGTCTTGCTCATCTTCACTTTCTACTGAGCTTTCGTCCCATTCTTCTGACTCCTCGGACAAATTTTCCTCTTCACCTTCCTTCTCGTTTGACAGCCACTCCCGGAATCTTGATCTACTCCGAGTTATTCAGCTTCCTATTTAAACGAGGCCATCTGAGACGGTACTGCTTCCGCTAGTTTCGTGAAGTGATCTATGATTACCAATATCTGGTTATATCCCGACTCCGTTATACATATCTTTTGATGGTCTATCTGTACGACCTCATTGAATTTTGATCTTTGCACCAATTTGAGAGGGAACTTCCTCTTCCTCGGGTCTTTCACTTGTAGACACGACAAACATGCGTCGACCCTCCTTTCGCAAGTTTCCCTCATTCCTGGCCAGTCATATCGGTGCAGTAAACTTTGTTGCACCTTGTCTGTTCCTTGATGTCCCATCTGATCATGCAATCTGAGCAGCACCTCCGTTTGATATAGCTGCGGTAATATGATGAGATTATGTTTGTGTAATGTTTTCTTTTCATCTCCTCTCTTGCAGGCCACCACATCATCTGCTGTGTGGTAGAGCAAGCCCTTCCGTTCCTTTTAGAACTGGCTCAAGAACTTATAGCTGTCCTCCACTAGGTTTCTTCTCTCATTTACTCTCGTTCGGATCAATTTGGAGAGATTGCTGGTCATTTTGTCGCTGTTCTGTGCTCGTATCTAGTCCAATAGCCTGTACCTCGCCTTCACATGCCCTTTCAGTGCCATCATTTGCCCGTTCAGTTTTTCCGGGTTGTGAATATCATCCTTAGGTTTGACGCACACCATCCTGCTCAAGACTTCTCTGTCACTCTCCGGCTCTAGATTTGTCCTGACGTTTGAACTGCATAATAATCCCCTAAAAATTTTTCTTGACAGCGCTATCATCTCTTGTTCTTCTCTTCCGTTCATGTTGTAATGGTTCAGGTTGTATGTCCCGGAGGAGGGTTCAGTCTGCGTTTCCCAATCCCGATTTCTTCCGTTTTCTTCCGCTAATATCGTGCACAAACTGTCTTGCTCATCTTCACTTTCTACTGAGCTTTCGTCCCATTCTTCTGACTCCTTGGACAAATTTTCCTCTTCACCATCCTTCTCGTTTGACAGCCACTCCCCGGAATCTTGATCTAGTCCGAGTTATTCAGCTTCCTCTTTAAACGAGGCCATCTGACACGGTACTGCTTCCGCTAGTTTCGTGAAGTGATCTATGATTACCAATATCTGAATATATCCCGATTCCGTCATACATATCTTTTGATGGTCTATCTGTACGATCTCATTGAAATCTGAGCTTTCCACCATTTTGAGAGGGAACTTCACCTTCCTCGGGTCTTTCACCTGTAGACACGACAAACATGCGTTGACCCACCTTTCGCGAGCTTCCCTCATTCCTGGCCAGTCATATCGGTGCAGTATTCTTAGTTGCACCTTGACTATTTCTTGATGTCCCTCTGATCATGCGATCTGAGCAGCACCTCCGTTTGATATAGCTGCGGTAGTATGATGAGATTATGTTTGTGAAATATTTTCTCTTCATCTCTTCTCTTGCAGGCCATCCCATCATCTGCTATGCGGGAGAGTAAGCTGTTCTGTTCCTCGTAGAACTAGCTCAAGATCTTGTAACTGTCCTCCTCTAGGTTTCTTCTCTCATTTACTCTCGTTCGGATCCATTTGGAGAGATTGCTGGTCATCTTGTCGCTGTTCTGTGCTCGTATCTAGTCCGATAGCCGGTACCTTGCCTTCACATGCCCTTTCAGTGCCATCATTTGCCCATTCAGTTCTTCTGGGTTGTGAATATCATCCTTAGGTTTGACGCACACCATCCTGCTCAAGACTTCTCTGTCACTCTCCGGCTCTAGATTCGTCCTGACGTTTGAACTGCATAATAATCCCCTAAAAAGTTTTCTTGACAGCGCTATCATCTCTAGTTCTTCTCTTCCGTTCATGTCGTAATGGTCCAGGTTGTATGTCCCGGAGGAGGGATCAGTCTGCGTTTCCCAATCACGATTTCATCATTTTTCTTTCGCTAATATCGTGCACAAACCGTCTTGCTCATCTTCACTTTCTACTGAGCTTTTGTCCCATTCTTCTGACTCCTTGGACAAATTTTCCCCTTCACCTTCCTTCTCGTTTGACAGCCACTCCCTTGAATCTTGATCTAGTCCGAGTTATTCAGCTTCCTCTTTAAACGAGGCCATCTGACACGGTACTGCTTCCGCTAGTTTCGTGAAGTGATCTATGATTACCAATATCTGGTTATATCCCGATTCCGTCATACATATCTTTTGATGGTCTATCTGTACGATATCATTGAATTCTGAGC